ATATATATATATATATATATATATATATATATATATATATATATATATATATATATATATATATATATGGGGTTGTGCCAGTAGAGATTCGGAATGACAAGATATACACGATTCCAGATAGTAGTTACCAAATGGGTATGAAAAATAGTATAACTAGAATCTAAGATGCAAGCCAATTAAGGTTGAATATTCAGAAGTCAACAAGCCAATAATCTACAAATGCCATTAGTAAATAGGGCAATATTAATCCTATTTCACAAAGAATTTGTGGAAGCATAATTGATAGAAGAAGGCTCACTTTAAAAGGCAAGGAATCGGATTTGGCTTGTTTGATAATTGCCTCTTTTCGCTCAAATGTGCTCGAAATCTGCCCCGCGTTGATGCGCCTTACCAAGGGCATACATACGGCATCGATGACTTGAGGTATGCTTGCCAGTTTCGTTTGTATTTGGCTCCATATTTTTGCTTCGGCTATTCAAAAGCAAGTAAATGTTTAAGATAAGTAAGGTATTGTATCTAATGAGAAATTTGATTTCTGTTAGTCGTGAAATATAAATATTTCAGTTTTCCTCTAAATCCATATATTTACGGTGACGAATAGACCTAAGGTCGAAACAATAACAAACTCTGTACGAGAAAAACATTATTATGTGCATAGTATAGTGAGATTCAAAGGGCTGATTCATGCCGTATTTTTAGTCATTCGGATGTATTTACACATATTACCATTAAGGCGTTAAAAACGAAGGCGCATCACAGTCACTTGCTGTCTGAAAAGTGAGATCAATCTTTAAGAAGAGATAAAAAAATCCCATTAAGTATACGCTTAAAAAGTATTCAGAAGGCGTTGTATAACAGCCTAAGTGGTAAAGAAGCCATCAAGAGAGAAACATATTCACAATTATAATATAAGATCGCGTTTGAAGTAAAAAGCCTAAAGAAAAATTTGCTATTTTCTATACTTTCAAAATGCTTCCTGGACAAAAATGATCAATCTAATGAGATCAAATACTGAAACAAAAATGACCATGAAACTCTTTTTTAGTGCATACGAATTTCCCTGCATTACGAAATGCCATAAAAATTGGATATCAATAAGTGATATAATTGGCAAGTGAATGGGTATGGATAGACAATACAAGATGATATAACTCGATGAAGTCAATCTGAAAATTAGAACTAAATCAGGGAGCCAGTTGCAAAAGGTTCAGACAAAAGCAGGTTGGTCGAGCAGATAAAAATATGCATCTGAATATAATAATAAAAATGGGAATTTAGTTAATATTTAAATAAGTAAGATAGACGCTATTGGTTCCTATAAGTAATTACAATGTATTATTACAATTTTTAATAAAATTATATAATAAACCATCTAGTGCCGGGAAAAAAGCAACTTCATATAATTTTAAGGACGTAATATAGAAGAAAACATCATACAAAAAACATTGCAGGAAATAGAACTTGTCTTTTAACAGTGTTAATTTATTTACTAATAGATTATTTTAAGTTTGATGACGTATAGATAGAATATTTCAAGAAATAGATTAAAATATCAGTATAAATAAGTCTAAGTCCACTAGTTTACAGGGGCTTATAAACGGCTTTACCCTTATAAGACTTCGTTTTCTTATCCAGATCCTTGACGATAGTGCCAGCTATCAATGGAAGATTAAAATATAGTATGCGCATATTCACTAGACCCTGAAGAAGTACGAACTTGTTATGCTTCGTCTCAAAGAGCTCCTGTATGTCAGTGTGTCGCCGAACGTAGTCGCGCGCAGTAGTACGAACACAGTCAAGCATGTTTGTGCAGGAAAGACTTTGGCAAAACTGCGTCCAGGTCTGGACAATGAATGCACACAGATGTATAGGGTTTTAGAAAAAGCGCATGATATAGCACAATAATCACATGTGAAGATTAATGAAAAAACAGTGCTTTGGACCTTATCACAAGCAAAAGACATTTCATTCTTAAGATGCAAATAAGGACTGCAACAAATTAAATAACAGGAAGTAAATATGATATTTTCTGAAATTCACATTTACAAGGTAAAAATACATAAATAAAAACAAAACCCCGGTTTTTCTATATAAAAAATCTTATATCTCAATCAATTAGAATAATATGCAGAACAAAATGTTTAAAATTAAAGCAAAGAAAATAAAATGTTTGGAACAAATTTAGAAGATTGAACATTGTAGGTGAGTTTATAGCCAATATGATGAATAAAGGACTTTATGACTATAATTGATTATATAATTTCATTTAGTCTCATAATTATTTCGGTGAAATTCGAAAAAGATTTGTACACGCCAGGTCACAGAAAAGTTTCTCTTGGCTAAGATATGAAGGGTAAGATGGTGTGGCCTCAGGCATGGTTGCAGTCTCCTTTCGATTTATAGTATTGAGTTGACCTCGTTTTCGCAACATGGTCATATTAGCAGGAAGACCTAGAGGAAAAAACCTCGCCCAGAGTCCATAGGATGCATGACAATTTCCATAGTCGGATCGTGGACTTGATACATTCCCGGAAGTTTCACAGGCATCGAAGTCGGCATAATCAGTGAGACTTCCCAGTCTTATCAACCAAGCTATGAACTAGTCAGATACAGGTGAAGTCAATCCCTCGGACAACGTTCTGCCGAAAACGGTTACACTACCATTCATCTTTCTGTCCTGGCCCATCTGTCTACTCCGTACCTGCTTATCCAACTCCCGCCCTATTATAAATTCCGACTTTTTAACCTCCCTTTGTCAAAATGTGCCTTTTTTGGCAAATTTAGTGTGGGCTCATCACACCTTTATTCATCCTGGACCCCTCTCTTTCGGTCTGTTAATCCGACTCAGGTCTCCTATCCGGATCTCCCTCATAGTCCCGTAGATCCGTTTCTTATCTTTCCATCTGACTGATTTCCTCTTAATTTCCGTCCCAATGTGTTTTACTCCAGACCTTATTTCTCAAGGCCTTAGAAGAATATACACTGCCGCCTCACCGAGCACTGCGCATAGGCTCTGATTCACATGCTGGCAGATATTTTTAATTTCCTTCATGGGTCTTATACTTGATTAAACTCGTGTTACCCGTTCAAACTGTGGACGTCTATCTCTGGTCAAATACGGCATCTTAAATGGATTTTTAGTACATTTTGTCCATAACTCAGAATTTATGTGACGGAGATGCTTATTCGTGTGCCTAGTTCTCTGACTGCTAGGCCTCCAAAGCTGTACTTATTTATTATAATAGACATCAATAATTGATAACGTCCTTGCTTGATTCCTAAAAATCCCCGCCCTCCCTTTTCTCATTGCGACCCATTTTCCTCCGGTAGGAGATAGATCCTTGATCTAGGCTTCTTCATCTTGCTGCTCTTGCTGTATTCTTCGAAGATATGAAGACTAGAATGTTGTATAGAAGTTGTTTGACTTTGGTTTCTCAACTTGGTCATATTAGCAGGAAGACCTAGAGGAACGCACATTGCCTTGAGTCCATAGTATGTATGATAATTTCCAGTCCAACCGAGGACTTGGTATATTCCCAGACGTTTCGCTGGCATCATAGTTGGTATCGTAGTTGGCATCGTCAGTGATTCTTGCCAGTCACAGCAACCAAGCTACAATTCATCAAATAGACTAATAGAGTCAATCCTTTGGCCAGCTTTCAGTCGAAACGGTTTTGCTATCACTCCTCGTTCTGTCATGGTCCCTTTATCTATTTCCTGCCCCCTTGTCTCGCCCGTGTTCTATCACAACTTCTGACATGTTTATATTCCACAAGACGTGCCCTTTTGGCGAATTTACCGTGGCATCACCACACCTGCTATTCGCCTTATTGCCCTCCTTTTCGAGTGGCTGATCCGACTCTAGTCTTCTGTCCAGATCTGCCTCATAGACCCGTAGATCCGTTTCTTATCTTTCTGGTTGACTGATTTCACTTTGTTACAGCCCCAGCGTACTTTCACAATAGATGCCATTTATCAGCTTTCAGTAGAACGTACAAAGTCGTCTTATTTTTAGAACCTAAGCTCTGATTCCTATGCTTGCAGATATTAGGCATTACCTTCACGTATCGGAGGAATTAAGCCCGTGTACTTTGTGAAAGCTATGGACATTTATCTCCGGTCGCTTGCTGCATCTCAAGTGTATTTTAAGTCTATTTGGTCATAATGCCCGATTTCTGTGACCCAATCAGTCTCCCTAGTCACGTGAAACGTCGGGGCGCCAAGTTATAGTTGTTTATTCGAGCAGAATACTCTCATTGAAAACGTCTTTGCTTCATTTCCAAAATTTCCTCATCCTCTTGTTCATTGCGATCCCTTTTCCTTGATCCTTGATCCAGAAGTCTCCTCTTTTATTATCTTGTTTCATCCCTGTTTTCTCCGGGTTTGATTAGGCAATAGGCAAAGTTATCACTAACTCTGTCTTGATTCAATCTCCTGTTCATTAATTTTTTTCCACCAAGGATGTCAATGCCTGCCTAATGTTCCGTTTCTTTGTGCTTTCACATTATGGGGCCCTTATTTGTGTTGCCTTCAAATTGATCTCATGACCAGTCTGAGATGTGCTCCACTAATTCTGATCTTTCGGGATCATAGCCTAGGCCCTCTGCTAGGTGAGGCGGTAGTGTACGTGCTTCCAAGGCCTTGAGAAATAGCGCTTGGAGTAAAACGCACACTGGGGGTGGAACCGAGTGAAATCGGTCAAATATAAATATAAGAAACGGATCTACGGGGCCATGAGGTAGATCCGGATAAGAGGCCCGAATCGGATTAGTTGATCGAAAAATAGGCCAAGGTGAATAGCAGGTGTGATGAGACACACTAAATTTGCCAAAAAAGGCACACATTTGACGAGTGGAGTTGTGATAGGACGGGAGCTAGTTAAGTTGGCAAGCAGTGGATAAATGGACAGGGATAAAACGTTGGTCGAGGGATTGACTTCATTTATTTTTTTGACGAGTTAGTAGCTTGCTGCCGAGAATGGCAAATCTCATTAATGATTTCGACTACGATGCCGGTGAAACGTCTAAGCATGTATTGAGTCCACGGTCTGATGCTTGGAATTATGATATTGCAGAGAATTTCGGACAAGCTGCGTTCTACTAAGTTGCCCTGACAACAAAACCAAGAGGCCAAAACGAGGTCAACTCATTTCTCTTGACTAGACCATCAGAAAGTAGTTCAGTGAGAGGCTACTCAAAATATTTTGGCTTTTCTTGCACCAAATTTACAAAGGAGATATGTATTGTTAAATTTTCAGGAATATGACACCATCACTAGAAGGAAATGGAAAAGGTATTCTGCTTGGTTGATATCCACCTAGTTAATGTGAGCAGATAAGAACATTGTTTTTGTATCTAATCTACACATTTAAAAGAAGTCCTGCTGTTAAAAAAAACCAGAGGTTGATATTAGATGGCGTAAAAATGGAAAAGCCATCATAGAGTGAGCACAATAACCAAAAGGGACCACTAAATATTGATGTAATTACTAGGTAAATTTCAAGATCCCGGATTGTAAGGCGTAGGAAGTATTTCGGAATGAATTCGAAGAATATCATATAATATTGTGATTCGTATAAGGAAAGTTTAAATATGAGAGCACAAAATAAATTGGAGTCCCTTAAAGATCAGGATAATATCGTTGGAGAGATCCCATTACGTATAAAAGTACATGAAGAAGAGATTCGATGGTCGATCTTGCTAGAATATGGGGGATTTCATTAATAAAACGCTCAGATTGACGCAGTCCGCGAGACACCCTCAATCGTTTCAGGTGAAAACGAATAAATTTTTTGCCCACCGTATGATGAACATCATCAAGGCTGGAACTTATTATTGTAAAAACTTAATGTTAAAAAAAGGCTAAGAAGACTATCTAGTCCTAACATACATCTAATACATATGGAATTAAGCAGAAAAAAATAATAAGCATAGATAGATATAAAATGGGTTGGCTAATTATCTTTCATAGTGTTCCAGATAGTTTGTTCGAGTGTGTGTTAAAGTCTATACGCAACACCGGTACTAAATCAGAATGATAAAAAAAGGCCAATGTCAGGCTCTGGTCATCAAGGCTTAGTGACCCAAGAAAAAAGGCCTGATCGAGACTGCCTAAGTCTGTAAGTAAATATGGTTGAGATAATCAAATGTAAACTTGTAAGTGTGAAAATCAAGTCATGAAATCATGTCTTAACCTCCTAATCTAGGATCATTAAGGTTTAACAACCCAAGGAAACACAAGACTGGAACTAGGTAATCTCGTACGTCTGGTTTGGTTGATGAGCTTAATCGAACATGTTGGACAAGTGTGAATGAGGTTAGAACCGTCATTGTGCAGATCAGTTGAGTTGCCTTATTTTAGATGGCGACTCAACATCCTCTCTCCCCTGCAATCTATAAAACAAACATAAGTCGTTCTTACTCAACTTTCTACCAGCG